AGGAAAGATACGTTAAGCTTATTGCTGATTTGTCCTGTCCTTTGGTCTTAGCTTGGCTTGAAGACACATTAAGTCTGATGGTGGAATGAGAAACAGACGTCTGTTGCACTTCTAACCTTATGTTATGCAGATCATAGTAGGCTTGGCCTTGGTAGTGAAAGTAGATTGGTTTATAATTAAGTGCACAGCGAGGATTCCTAGCACATATGACATGTCCTGGGTTATTATTCTCAAAAACTTAACTTGAAGACACATCAAGTCTTTCTAGCGACAATTCTGGTCAGGAATTTCATCTGTCCTCAGTTCAGTGCAGTTCTTGATTCACAGCCTCTGAAAAGTAAGCTCTGTCTAAAAAAAATCTCTCACTAATGACATTAGCTATCAAATTATTGTAATGGTGATAGTCTGTAAATATGGTGGGTTACTCTAGCAGACAAATTTCAAACATATTAAAAAGTTTACTTTTCGATACTGTCTATTGAAGTGTTTACTCACGTCTTAACTGAAAGACTGGAATAACATTTCTACAGTGACCTTGGGTTGTTCATAATAACGGTTATTTGGCTATTATTTTTAAGAGTTTAAATGAGAATGTGGGCGAGGTCCATAATAGTAGAGCTGAGAGATTTTTTTTTGTCCTATTGAACACAAATCCATAGGTTTTTGTTTAAGTTATGGTTTTTGATTTGAATTTTAATGAACATTTATATAGATATATATGACCAATGTTGGAATTGTAAACTTATACCTGAATCTGGGAATTAATGATACTTGTTAATCCTTCTTCAAAATATTTTGGAATATCAAAACTAGTGATAAAACTTCAGGAACTTTCTAAAATGGCAGCTAAAGTTAAAACCAAAGACGTTTAAAAGATTATAAAATGGCAGCCAATGCCCTAAGAAGTATTAGCCAAAGACAAAGCTGTTAGCGTTATGAAAACTTCTTAAAACTATCATAAGCTAATCCGTACAGTATATATTTGCTTTGTGATGATCAAGGCTCTATACATACGATAAATCTCTAATCTGTTTACATTTTAAGCCAGATTACGGCCTGGCCAACCACTGATCTCTCCTTTCCCTACTTTTAATTTCAAAATTAGACAGGATTATCTTTTAGGATGATTAGGGAAGATGAAAGACTAATATTTAAGAAAGAAAATATGGCTGATTACTTTTGGATTATCCAGTCTTTCTAATGGTGGGCACGAAGCAAGATGATGAAATTGCGCAGATATGGACTGCAATATGGAGTTTTAGCCTCAAAATGAACTGGATGAATATTTTAGAAAGGGAAATATTGCTGATTACTTTTGGATTATCCGGGGCATAAAGCAAAATTGTGCAGATATTGACCGCATGGATTTCGAAGCCAGTAAATAAGCATAAGACAAAAGACTGGATGAATACTGAAAAAGTTCTGTTACTTTGATTAGTTTCAAGAAAAGGCTAATGCTGCTGTCCTGGCAAAATTTCCCTCATTGCATACTGCATGGCGTTTCCTGTCTTTATTAGCCCACATGGTGCAAAATTCATTTCATTTCATTTAGATTAGCTTCAGATTAACCAGTCTCTCATTGGTCCTATAATCAAGAAGGCATTCTTGATATTGGAAACCTATGTTTGCTTGTTGTGCAATCATTTTTTAGGGTTTGTTTTCTGGTATCTTTTTTATGTAAGCACTTTTGATATCTGATGCCATACTTCTTATCGATGGCCAATAAATAAGCAAATATAATCAAAAAGTAAAGGGAATGAGTGTTCTTTTTCGCAGTTTTCAAACTTTTTTTCTTCAAACCTGCTCTTTGTTACATTCAGTTTTTTACATTGGCATCAATGGAATATTTCTGATTGTTGTTTTTCTCTCTCTCTTATTCAATAAGTTTTATCTATTATTATTCTGCAGTCACATTATTGAATTTAACCCCAAAGTAAGTTCATTATTTTGTTGTTTTCAAGCCATAATCAATATGATCAAATGAAAACAATTTTTTAATCCCGAGCCATTGTTATAAAATCATTAATTTTAGTTTTTTATTCATTTTTGTCAATAATATAATTAATTTGTAACAAATCGTATCAAATGCTAGTTTATTATTTATGGAGGTGTGCATCATTTGACGCTTTTGATTATGAATTTTCAATGGGAGGGAGTCGCGGTGGCTCAGTGAGTTAGACGCTTGCTCGCTAACCTGAAGGTCCAGGGTTCAATCCCAGCATAGGTCGAGATAATACCTTCGGATTTTTCAACCTGGAAGAACCACAGATGTCGGAATGAAAATTGGTGGAAATTGATGCTATCAGTGTCCCTGATACACTTAAAAAGTTTAGAAAACCTTTTTACAATCCCTTTAATTGTACATCGGCATCCTGGCTAAACTGAAGATAGTCCGAACCCTCTCAGAGGAGAACGAGCACATCTCCAACCATGCACTGTTTTATAAAGTCATAAATTCAATAAAACCTGTTTAAAAATAATTGTTAAAAAACCCAAAATAGTTATTATGAAATATCTAATTTATCAGTTTTATTGAAACAACGAAATGAAAGTGATTTGATTTTGATACAGAAGAATAGTAATGATTTTAGATTTGATTTTGTTATTTATCGTGTGTTTACTAAGTAATATCAATAAACATTCAAATAAGCCCGGCATTAATCTAGTTATCACTTTAAAGATGGTCAGCCACTTAGAAAGTATCGAGATTGCATCATTGTTAAAATAAGCGTTTAAATTATCCAAGTCTAAACCTGGTTATCACTTTAAAGATGGTCAACCACTTAGAAAGTATCGAGATTGCATCATTGTTAAAATAAGCGTTTAAATTATCCAAGTCTAAACCTGGTTATCACTTTAAAGATGGTCAACCACTTAGAAAGTATCGAGATTGCATCATTGTTAAAATAAGCGTTTAAATTATCCAAGTCTAAACCTGGTTATCACTTTAAAGATGGTCAACCACTTAGAAAGTATCGAGATTGCATCATTGTTAAAATAAGCGTTTAAATTATCCAAGTCTAAACCTGGTTATCACTTTAAAGCTGGATAGCCACTTATGTATTCAGTATTGCGAATCATATATGTTTAAATGTCGCATACCATGTAGAAAAGTATTCAATATTAAAACCAGTACCAATATCGGTTAATGTAGTGATGCTAATTGTTCTTTGAAACTGCTCCATACCCCCTGACACTTTGCTGAGATGCCTTTTACTTGCTGCTCAACACTATATGTGCTCTTCGATATTAAAACTGGTGTTTCTCCTTTAAACACGAAATATGAATTGAACAGTGTTAAAAATGTAAAGAGATAAAACAAGAGATATTATTATTATAGTGATTTATAGCTTTTTATTAATCAAGCTAAACAATAGGGTTGGTTAATACGAGATGACCAAAAACAATACACTGAAATGTATCAGAATGTGTGGCATTTAAATGAAATAGCTACAATGGTTCTTTGTACCTGAAATCAGCTCTGCTTTCAATGAATCAAAAAGTTTCAAAGCATTTCATTTGAAGTGTTGAATTGTAACCAGTCTTAATACGAAAGGAGACGCCTGTAATGAAATAGTTTTCTGCGAGTATTCTCATTTACAAAACAAAATAATCATTGGCTGGTTAGAAAATCATGTGACATGCATTGAATTTCAGTCAATCAAGATTACCTATAACAAGTGTGTGTATGTGTTAAAAAACATAACCATGAAGAAGCTTGTTGATTGGCCTGTTTGAAAATCATGTGACACCAGTCCCTAATGTGGGTTTTATCTCCTTAAGTGTAATATGATACAAAGAGTTTTGTATGTCGAAGAGACAATGGGGCTTCCAAGATGGCCGACTTGACTACCATTGATAAGCAGCAATATAGATAGATATTGTATGTCGAAGAGACAATGGGGCTTACAAGCTTCCAAGATGGCCAACTTGACTACCATTGATAACCAGAAATAAAGATAGATATTGTATGTTGAAGAGACGATGGGGCTTACAAGCTTCCAAGATGGCCGACTTGACTTCTATTGATAAAAAGCAATAAAGATAGATACTGTATGTTGAAGAGACGATGGGGCAAAACAAGCTTCCAAGATGGCCGACTTGACAACCATTGATAAGCAGCAATAAAGATAGATACTGTTTGTCAAAGAAACAATGGCTCAAAACAAGCTTCCAAGATGGCCGACTTGACAACCATTGATAACCAGCAATAAAGATAGATACTGTTTGTCAAAGAAACAATGGCTCAAAACAAGCTTCCAAGATGGCGGACTGGACTACCATTGATAACCAGCAATAAAGATAGATACGGAGTGATGTGGTTATTGTAAATAAAAAACACTATAAATGTCCTATCATAAAGAAATATTGCTAAAATAATGGTCAGGATATCAAATTTGGTTTACATTTATTACTCTTAATATTTCCCATTAGAAATGTGTTAGAAGTCAAAATAAATTTGTGGTAAAGTATAAAGAGTTGGAATGGCGTCTGCTAAAATTGTTAGATGGCGTATCGAATGGATTCTCGGAATGCATGAAAATATTGATGCCATGGTCAATGCTTGTATTAGTCTACAGCATGAGTTAAGCACCAGGCCACATATTCTTGTTAAAGGAATATTTCCCATGATTTCAGCTCATCCATTATCACTTTCAAGAAGTGGAAACTTGGAAATGATTCAAATGTGGGAGGATATTTGATAGATTTGTCATTACATGTCTTAATTTGATATTAGAGGAGATTACCTTTATTTCATGGAATATGATGTTTTAATTTAGTTATACTCAGTTTACAAAGGGTAGAGCTATCAGTGTACAAAGGGTAAAGCTACACTTTATATCCCTCAGTTTACAAAGGGTAGAGCTATATACACTCAGTGTACAAAGGGTATAGCTATTTACACTCAGTGTTCAAAGGACAAAGCTATATACACTCAGTGTACAAAGGGTAGAGCTATATACACTCAGTGTACAAAGGGTAGAGCTATATACACGTAGTGTACAAAGGGTAGAGCTATATACACTCAGTGTACAAAGGGTAGAGCTATATACCCGCAGTGTTCAAGGGGTAAAGCTATTTACACTCAGTGTACAAAGGGTAGAGCTATATACACTCAGTGTTCAAAGGACAAAGCTATATACACTCAGTGTACAAAGGGTAGAGCTATATACACTCAGTGTACATAGGGTAGAGCTATATACACGTAGTGTACAAAGGGTAGAGCTATATACACTCAGTGTACAAAGGGTGGAGCTACACTTTATATACACTCAGTTTACAAAGGGCAGAGATATATACACTTAGTGATTAAAGGGTAAAGCTACACTGTATATACACTCAGTGTTCAAGGGGTAAAGCTATATAGTGTACAAAGGGTAAGGGTTGGTTAACTCTACAAGCTGAGCAGGATGGTGAGGAGCAGAATGATTAGTTGAGGCATTAACAACTAGTTAGCTAAGCTGTATACGCTTGAGAAATTTGGCAGTATTTTTTACCGCTAGCAGCAAGAAGTTCATGAAATCTTCCACTATGAATGATGGTCTGCTCTGCTTATATGTGCACGGCTGAAGGCTATGCTCTGCACTGCCATGCTCTGCTTGTAGTGTTTACGAATCCCAAAGATTTTCACACTCAGTGTTTCAAAGGGTAAGGCAATGGATATTTAACCCAACTTTTAGCCACAGCAAAAGATCTTTAAACAGTCTAGTTTTTGACTAGTTTGTAATATAATATTTATTGTAAATGATGAAACAATTTATTGTTATTTTCATGTGATTATTGTTGGATATCATCTTTTCATATCATTATTTTAGGTTTTTTGTCAATCATAAATCAGAAACAAACTGCTATCATAAACTGTTCATAAAATAAATAGAATTTTTAGTAGGAAATCTGAAGATGTCTTCAGTTTGTAGTCAGTAAAATTATCAGGCAATCAGGTGTTGTTCATTGTCCAAATTTGAAGGGATTGTTCAGAAGTTTTTCTAAATTTTGTATCAGAGACACAGATAGCATCAATTTACGCCATTCCGATTTTCAATCAGACATCTGTGGTTACCCTAACTATTCCACTGAAAGACACAGATAGCATCAATTTACGCCATTCCGATTTTCAATCAGACATCTGTGGTTACCCTAACTATTCCACTGAAAGTAATTGTTTTCTGATTTTCTGAAGTCATTGAGCTATCGACATTGCTGCTATTGATACAATATAAAGACATTTGCAATAGGGAAGTCATGAACTGCATAGCTTTAGTGGAATTGCAGAACAATTGAAGAGTCGCAGACGTCTGATTGAAAATTGGAATGATGTGAATCAAAGCAAGGTTAGAAAACTTCTTTACCCTTTAAAATAGTTATTTATGAAATAAAAAAAATATCCAGAATTCTTTAGCATAATTATTATAATCAAGAAAGGCAATAAATCTTTTGATAATTTTTTTTTAAAAATTAGCACTCTTGAGTGAAAAGAAATTTTTCATAGAAATTTTTTAATTTTTTTCTGATTTCAAATTAATTTTTTTTAATATAATGGCTTTGTTGTTGCTTATATAAATAATTTATAGACTGAAGTAGTTTTTATAAAGGGATTGCAAAAAGAGTTTTTCTAATTTTTGATGTGTATCAGGGACACTGATAGCATCAATTTGCACTATTCCAATTTTCAATCAGATGTCCGTGATTCCTGCAATTCCATTAAAACTAAATGTTTGATGACGTAACTAACTGCAAAATATGATTTATCACTTTTTGCCGACTACCATTAGTGACACGTCAAACACTTAGTTTTTAGTGGAATTTTAGGAACCATGCACGTCTGATTGAAAATTGGAATGGTGCAAATTGATACTATCAGTGTGCCCAATACACATAAAAATTTTGGAAAACCTCTTTACAATTTCCTTTAAAGTGAGCAAAATATTTTGACATATGGAGAAATAAATAAGCCTACACATAGAAATATTATTAGCTGGTGAATCTGTAGAGTAAATACACCCACTATGTGTTATATTTAGGTCTTGGAATATCAGGTCATTATGAAAAGCCTTGGGTAATATTGGTCTTTCAGCTTTTCAAAAAAACAAATGATGTGTGGTCGTCTTTGTCCAAATTAATGAAAAACATTGCAAAGGTAGAGTTGTTTCTTTGTAATCATCCTTGACGCAATCGTTCTTCTTGTGCTTGAAACAAAACAAAAAATACTGCCCTTGAAATACAAGTCCCTTGTAAACAGACTTTGGTGCAGCTGTCCTTCTTGTGCTTGAAACAAAACAAAAAAATACTGCCCTTGAAATACAAGTCCCTTGTAAACAGACTTTGGTGCAGCTGTCCATTAAACATTTCAGAAAAAGATGTAGTTGTCCTTGTCCAAATTATTGAAAGATATTGTTTAGTATGTAGTCATTTGTAAACATCCCTGGGTACAACTGTAGCATTTCAGAAAACACAAAGATGGTGTGGTCGTATCTGTCTAAATTAATAAAAAACTTCGAAAAGGTGTACTTTTTTTACGTCTAAAAACTTTGAAAAAAAACCTGATAGTCCTGAAATAGAACTTGTGTCAACTGGGAACATCATAGGTTGCAACATTACTGTACTTTCTTACACTTAAAAAAAAAAAAAAGGTGTGGTAGCATTTTGTCTGGATTAATAAAAAAAATTGCAAAGGTACAGTTGTGTCTTTGTTTATATCACTAGGTGTAATTGTCCTTCTGTTCTAGCTATTAAAAAAACACAAAAGATGTGTTCGATTTTTTCCCTAATTCTCCTGGGGTTGAGCGAAGAAATTGGAGCACAGAGTTGCCACACTTTGACATAAAACCTTGACAGTTGTTCCCCAATTAAGTCATTCTTCCCCTTAGAAAGAAAGAACTATGTTTTACAAGGATAACAACTTAGGTTCACAGTTAAGGATCCTTTCTACCAGCTGGTCCTCGGCCAAATCTCTTGGCATTGATCTTTCCCGGATTATCCGTACCCATTTACAGCTGGGTCGACTGGAATTGTGAGTGAAGATGACTTATTCAAGGTCATCAGACTTCCACCGATGGAGCCATTTGCTCGACATAGCCAAAAGAACCTACAGATCCTCAAAATTTGTACATCCATTTTGGGAAACCAGCTCTGCTTGCAGGATACTGGTTGCTAGGGTTACTAAGGGTTAGAATTAAAATAGATTGCTCTTGTTTATGTTGGGATTTGGAATGAGCTTTAATATTTCGCGTAAAAATGAATCTGTTTACCAGGTGGCCAGAAAACGTCTGAAGAAATGTTGTTAGAAATTAGAAATGTGTCAAAAGTCAAAATAAATTCCATTCTACCTCTCATTAATCAAAACATAATGAGGCACATTTATCAACAATTACTTTCAAAACAAAAACCAAACACTTGAATAATGTATTGGTGCATGACCTTTCAGTAATTTTGGCATTTCCACCCACACATCCAATTTTGGTTACCTATCATGTGTTGTATGATGTCTTTAATGGGTGTCTAGTCTAGTCTAATTTAGTCTAGTCTTAGTCTTAGTCTTAGTCTTAGTCTTAGCCTCAGCCTCAGCCTCAGCCTCAGCCCTGTCTTGTCTTGTCTTGTCTTGTCTTGTCTATGAGAATTTGACTGTTTCATTCTCATTAAAATATTGATGTAGCATTCGATAACCTTGTATTAACACCAGACAAAAAACAACAACCAATCAAAGTTCTTGGTTTTACATTTAAGAATATGTTAAAGTTATGATGGTTTTAAAAACAAACCACCAATCAAGATATATGAGAATCTTACTGTTTCTTTCTCATTAAAATATTGATGTAGCATTCGATAACCTTGTAATAACACCGGAAAAAAAACAACAACCAATCAAAGTCTTGGTTTTACATTTAAGCTATGATGTTTCTAAAAAACAATGTTCTAATGAAAATATATGAGAATTTAACAATGCTGTATTTATATTAAAACATTGGTCCGCCAGTCAATTACCTTGTGCAAATATACGTAAAAACTAATGCTGAAATAATAGAACCTTAGTTCAATTCATTTCATCGGTAATTGGATTTGTTTTGAAGTTCCTGAAAGTTGCTGGAATTGCTCCAATCTTTCTGATTAATTGTCTGTCTGCAGAAACTCTTTTAATTTGCTTCAAATTTCGGCTCTGCAGATTTTTATTTAGAAGAGTCCATCCACAGAGATTATGAAGTTCACTTCTTTCAAAATTAGTATGCCAATATTTTACAAGAGCGCGCCGATGAGTTCTGAGGTTGACTGGATATCAACAAAGTTCATCAGACGTCATGAATGCAAAAGTTGGTCTGTTTCAGTCTATGACATGATCAAGTTCTGCTGTAAATTAGAACTCAAGCAACTGATGGCCGCCATTGTTTCAGTCGTTGGACTAAGATTGACCAAATATAGCAACTGAGCGTTCTTCAAGATGCCACCAGTTAGTTGTTAGCAGACATTGAATATCTAGTTTATCTCAGATTATACCAGTCTTAAGATTAATCTAAACCTTCCTTAAAGACGTTGTTTGTTGAAGTCTCAAAAGATATAATGAATTTAAATGAATTATTAACCAATCAAAACTGTCATGAAATTTGAATTGACATCGACCAATCAGTGAGCTGAGTTCCGTGTTTGTGTAGTTGCCAGTTGCTAAGATCAACCACAAGATTGTTTCTTATTTCCTGAAAACGAAAAAAAATACAATAAATTTAAACTATCCCTTCACTTATTGACCAACTGCAATCTTGATAGTTTATGATGAAATTCAAATTGACCAATCAGTGAGCTGAGTTCTGTGTCTTAAATCAGTTGCCCTGAGATACTGCAGTGGTAAGATCAACTTAACCCTTCCTTAAAACATTGTTTGTTAAAGACATAAATGATATAATAGATTTTATTTATTTGTTGACCGATCAAACTCTTCATAGTTTATGATGAAATTCGAATCGTCCAATCAGTGAGCTGATTTCCACGTTGATAAGTAACATTGACAAGATCTCGTTTTAATGGGAAATTTAAGATATAATTTACATAGAAATTGTAACATGAATATCAGTGGTGTTTCAGCATCATTTATAAAATAGCCAATGATTGGAAAGTCGTCCCCACAAATCAAAAGTCAATTCTCTGGAAACCGTTCTAATCTTAGTAAGAAACATTCGTAAATCGTGGAAATTGTAACATCTAAGTTCTAATCGCGACTTTAATGAAAGAATTATTAGCTGTAAAAAAGAAAATCGGTATTTTTTAAGTGAAAATTGACAGTTTTCTATGGCCATTGAAAGTGATAAAAATAAAAAAACATGGTGGAGAAACGTCAGTAATGACAGGCTATGGTATAATCAAATGCAAATTAAACTTATATTTAGAATTTTTATTTTTTATTTTTACATGAATACAGTTAAAGGGATTGTTAAGAGATTTCTTAAAATTTTTTAAGTGTATCAGGGACACTGATGGCATCGATTGGCACCATTCCAATCTGATGTGCATTAAAATTTTGAGAAAGTCACTATTGCAAAGTTCTGAAAATATTAACAATGACATCACACAAAAACACTTAGTGGAGCTGCAAGTATCACAGACGTCTGATTAAAAACTAGAAAGGTGCAAAATAATGCTATCAGTGTCTTGATACACATATAACAGCTAAGAAAATCTCTTAAAAATCTCTTTAAGTGGAATTTTCAAGAATCACAGACATCTGATTGAAAATTGGAATTGTGCAAATTGATACTAGAAGCTTGCATATTAGATTTTTAAATTTCATTGGCTTTTGTAAACATGATGTGTTCATGGAGTGGAGTGTACAATAAGGGACATTTTTCTAAGACAGTGACATCAAAATGTCCTCAAACTTGTGTGAGTTGACTTTCTCCAGAAATAAAAAAAATATATAAATTTTTGTACTCGTTTTCAAAATGACAGACATGATTGACCTGACTGTACCAAGTTATACTTTTGTTATGACGGACACTGTGTGGGTTTTTTTTCTTTGTCATCTTTCAGTATTGTGTTATTTTATACGTCGAACAAAAATATTTTTGATTTTAGGTCAAATAATTTAATTGAAATTGTCATGGGAATATTAAAAGTTGTTGTAAGATACTAAAAAATGACTAGCAAATACAATTGAAATATTGACCTCTCTGCACCAATTTTTATTCCAAGAACATCAAGTGATTTATATGTCAAATATTTTTGAGAATATTCTTTCAAATTGCATAAAATGCAGGATAAAAGCCCTTTATTTTCAAAACTATTTGACTATCTGCACTAGTTTATACCTTTTGAAGAACATGATGAAAACGCTCAAAGTTGTTGTCAGATATTCAAAAATAAAATTGACCTATCTGCACGCATTTTACGTTTGATTCCACAACACCAAGTGTTTTTCTTCCTCTTCATCTGTTGATTTATATGTTATAAGGATGTTTTTCAGCCTAGTTTTAATGTTAACCTTTTGCACACTGCCGACTTTCCACTGCCATGAAAATAATGCTAGAAATGGATTCCTGCAAGTGGAATAAAAAGATCAAACTTAAAATAGTCACCATTCAACTTCTGGTATTTTTCTTGACCTGAAAATCAACGCCTTACCGTTTTTTTAGCGTCTAAAGACAGTCTGTGACCTTCTAAGACTCGGAATTTCCCTCCCAGGCACCGTTTGCCATTTCCAAAGGATGTATAAAAAGCATTGAACGAAGGCGTAGGAATTTACATAGCACCAATTAATTAATCTGACCACGTCTAAGCTTTAAGGCATTTCGTCCAACCAATTATAAGCATTTTCTTCAGATTTTTGACTAATTATGCCAAAATTAATCTTTGATTAACTAAGAATTACATTTTGTTTGATAGTTTTTGGCTTATTTGGTCAAAAATTAAATGAATTTGAGCTTCATATACTGTTTGTAGTTTTTCGACTAATTAAGTTAAAATAACACAGTGATTAATAATGAATTAATACTTTTGTAATATTGTTTGGCTGATTTGGTTGAAAATGAGTTGTGCAATGAGGGAAATTTTGGCAGAATATCTGCTCCAATTCAAAGTGTGGGCTAACTGTGCCATAAAAGCATTGGCATAGGTAAAATTTAACTCGTGAAGAGACAATATCATGATGCAGTGCAGTTTGCAATGAGGAAAATTTGCAAGGATATCAGCGCTGAATCAAAGAGCGGGCTAAATTTCCTTCAACTTATCTTAAATTTGGTTACATTAAGTAATGAAATTTGGCTTATTTGAGATGTCATGCAGTGTGCAGTGAGGGAAATTTGTGAGGAAATCTGCACCAATTGATAGCGTGGGTTAACGTTGCCTTCAACTCAAATATGCTAAATTTGGTACAGATCAATCAAACTAAGATTATTGAAGTGTAATTGCCTGGTAGTTTGTTTATAGTACTTCTCGCGTTCCAGAATAATTAGTACTGTAAATATTGCCAGGGGCTAATTAGGGATTAATTTGGGGAAGTAATTAACAAAATTTAGCTTTAATTTTGTGTTTGATAGGATTCATTAGCAAATCAAATGAAGGATTAAATTTCTGAAGGGCTATTTGAAATGGAGGAGAGAGAAACAACAATATTAGCCAGAGATATGAGAGAGGGGGGGGGGGGGTGGCTTATTGGCGTAATAGACATAGCAATGTCATGCAGAATACACTGAAGGATATTCAACTACAGAATATGAGCTAGAAACGATTTTATTTTGTCTTTATCCCATGCTTAGTCCCATGCCAAGTCTCATGCTGAGTACCATTGTAAATCCAGTTGTAAGTCCCATGCTAAGTCTATTGCTTAATTCCATTGTAAGTCCTGTTCTAAGTCCCATTGTAAGTCCTGTTCTACATCCCATTGTAAGTCCTGTTCTAAGTCCCATTGTAAGTCCTGTTCTAAGTCCCATTGTAAGCCCTGTTCTAAGTCCCATTGTAAGTCCCGTTCTAAGTCTCATTGTAAGTCCCATTCTAAGTCTCATTGTAAATCCAGTTCTAAATCCTGTTCTACCAAGTCCTGTTCTAAGTCCTGTTCTAAGCCCTGTTCTAAGCCCTGTCCTAAGTCCCATTGTAAATCCAGTTCGAAATCCTGTTCTACCAAGTCCTGTTCTAAGTCCTGTTCTAAATCTTGTTCTACCAAGTCCTGTTCTAAGTCCAGTTCCAAGTCCTGTTCTAAGTCCTGTGCTTTTTATGAGATTTATTCTGGTTTCACCCTTATACCAGCTATAGAGTATTACAGAATATCTCATTTGAATACAAGTTATAAAACATCAGACACTTTCACTTATTGCCAATTAGTATTACTGACACGACACATACTGACATGGACTGTCACTGACCATTACTGACCACTGTCATGTAAACTAACACTGACATGTAGATAATGTTAACGAATCATTAAGATACATCTAATTTTTACCAATCTATTCTCTCATGACACTGCCATGAATAAATAAATAGAATGAATGAGTGGATGAATGTAGGATTCAATGAATGACTGAATGAATGAGTGAATGAAGGATTCAATGAATGAATGGATGAATGAATGAATGAATGAATGAGTGAATGAAGGATTCAATGAATGAATGGATAAATGAATGAATGAAGGATTCAATGAATGAATGAATGAATGAAGGATTCAATGAATGAATGAGTGAATGAAGGATTCAATGAATGAATGAATGAAGGATTCAATGAATGAATGAATGAGTGAATGAAGGATTCAATCAATCAATGGATGGATGGATGGATGGAAAAATGATTAGATGAATGAGTAGAAAAAATGAATGAAGGAATAAACTAATGTAGGGATGATAGAAAATCTTGAATGAATGAGTAGATGAAAAACATAATGAATGGATAGAAAAACCTTTGTCATGAATGAATGAATAAATGAAAGAATGAAAAATGCTTAAAACTTGGTAAAAGCCAACAAATGAGCAATGGATTGAATGGACAGGCAAATGACCACCACAGAGACAAATGAAAGAATGAAGGAATGAATAAAAACTGACTACATTGTACATATGTTATTACTTGTAGCCTTGAGTTGACCGAGTTGACCGAGTTGACCAAGTATATAAGATGATATGAGAGAATTAAAATGACAACTGCTCTGCAGTAATTAATGAAGTCATTGAGGAAGCAACAGAAATAATTTCAGATCAATAAGATTCCATAACTGCCAGGAAACAGATCTTCCTGGAAATTAATGTCACTGACCCTCTACAGTGGACATTATATGATTGATTGGATGAATGAATGAACTAAGGGATAAATGAATAAGGTATGGGTTTGAGTGGATAGAATGAATAGAGTGAATATATGGACAAATGAATGGACAAATGAAATGAATATGGATAGATTTAATAAAGGTGAATGGATAGATTTAATAAAGGTGAATGGATAATTTAATAAAGGTGAATGGATAGATTTAATAAATGAATATGGATAGATTGAAATAATGGAATAATGAATTGTTAACAGAATAAATAGTGAATATAGAGAATAAATGAATAAAAAGTTAGAAGAGTAAAAGCAATGACAAATCAAGGAATTGTAACATTCCAAAAAAGAACCAGCCATGTTTTACAAGCACATTGCAGCTACTTGAGTTCACGAGGAACCATTCTACCAGCTGATCCTTGGCCAAACTTTTTGATCTTTCTGGATTAGGTTCTCGACCCATTTACAACTGGAATCATGATGAAAGATGAAGGTCACCACGTGGACTGGGAGTAGAACCCCTACCACCTTTTGTTAAATTACCAAGCAAGTGACGTCTGAAATCCAATGCTCTAACCGACTTTTCTTTGCTTGTGCCTTGAGAAATTAATGAAAGCATGGACAGGAAATAGTTCTTTGTTGTAATTAACGTTTATATGGAAAGTATTTACTAACTGAATGAATGAATGGATGAGTGAATACAGGAGTGAGTGAAAGATTGAGTAAAGTAATGACTGAATGAAGTAGTGAGTGAATGAATGATTAAATGAATGAATGAATAAATGATAAACTAATGAGTAAATGAATGAGTGAGTGTCAGACATGACTGGTTTAAGCAGACAGAACCAAAAACTTTTGGATGTTCCCTGAAGAGTAAGCACTCCCTGCCAAAGCATACATGATAATAGCACTTTATAATAGAACTTTTGAATTTGAGCTCAAAAGCTTAACATTTTCAACTCTATCAGCAACAAAAGTACATGATATATACTCTTGGCTACCGAGTACCGTCATGTATTTTTAATGACATATACTTGGGAGTCATATTTCTTAAGTTCCAAGTAAAAAGACATTTTATTTCATTTACACTTAGTGCTCAAAAAGCTTATAGCTATTATGGATATGAGTTTTGTTGTTTTTGTGCTAGTTTTTAGAGAGATTAGAAAGCAGAATAAAAACGCAGATTACAGAAAATTATCCGAGAGAGGGAAGAATCCTTTTAAATAATATCTCATACCTAATGGACAAAAACAACTGAAATGATTTTGAAAATAATTTTTTGGGGAAAATAATACTACTACTTATTTTCATTACATTCATTTTTCTTCCAATTTCTAAGAAATACAACATCAATTATTTGTAATACGCAATACTTCCGTAATTTCGAGACGTTTTTAATATATTTGTGTAGGTTTCTGTAACTTTAGGAGATGTGTCATGTTTTTTTTATTTGATTTGGAACCACATTTTTTATAAATTTTGTAAGTATATTGGAGACACTGATAGCATCAATTTACACCATTATAAATTTCAATCAGACGTCTGTTTCAAGCAATTAAATGTCTCTCTCTCACAAGTGCGATTTGCTCAGCGAAATTTTGGGGAATTGCAGGAACCACAGACATCTGACTGAAAATCGGAATGGTGCAAATTAATGCTATCAGTGTCCTTGATACACATTCAAAATTAAGAAAAACAACTTTTAAATCTCTTAAAGGGATTGTAAAGAAGTTTTCTAAATTTTTAATGTGTATTCACTTTCACTACAACTAAGTGTTTGATGATATCTGATATCGTGAAGGGACAACAGACGTCTGATTGAAATTAAAAATGGTGCAACTCGATGTTAGCAATGTCCCCGATACACTTAAAAAATTTTGAAAACCTCTTTACAATCATCTATTAAGATCTTCGCATGAGTAAAAAATTACTTAGAAACAAAAGTCTTATCTTTTCCAATTTGAAACCGTTAAATCATTTAAAAACCAGTCACGAACATTTCTTGTCCACCAAACCGTTTTTTTATCTTTTATGATAAAATAATAAAGAAAATTGTCAGATGAAACCGAAAGTAATTTATAGAAAAAATATGCTTAGCGAAATTTATCTTTGATTATTTGCCAAAATGTAATGAAGTTATTTGGAGATTTTTCATTACTCGTCTGACTGTGTCAATCAAATGTCGCTAAAAATATATCTAGGGGGAGCTATATCTTTTTATTAAGGGGAGATAATTGTGTTAGTGTTTGTTAATAAAGATTTATTTTGGTGATCAAATTTGTTAATCTAGTTTGATAATCAAAGCGCGACGAAAGTCAGTCAAATTTTTCTGGAGGGGAGACATGTTCACTAAAGGATCAAAAGAATTGCCGTCTGTCTGTTGCTAGGATACTTACTGGCATACTCCACTTAATGTCACTAACATTTAATTTTCTCATGTGTTTTTGACTTGATTGAAATGGACATTGTGAAACCAACCAATTTAAGCAGAAGAGTTTTTAAATGATGTTGGGTATTGCCACAACACGATACGTATTGCGATACACTACATGTGGACATACTGAAGTGGCAATCTTAAAAACAAATTTTACAACATGTTAAATCATTTGTCAGAAAAAGAAAAGAGGAAAAGGAAAAAGGATTTTCATCATCCAAAGTAATCTTCGTGGAAGATGTATCACTTCCTGCTTGACCATATCCTGGTATCCATAATGAAGTATGAAAACAAAATGGCTGCTTTTTTGCGTTCTTGTAATATAATCTTTCAGATTTCCATAAATAACTTTTTGATAAAACATATTGTCATATTTTAATTTCTTAACCCAAAAAAGTCAAGGAAATTTTTAATATTTCTAGTTTAAAGTGGTATCCAAGGCAGAAGTATGAAAACAAAATGGCCACTTTCACAATCTGTTCTTTTGAATGAAGATAATACAATTTAATCGTACAGATGTAGAAATCAACAGAGAAAACCACAAAAATATAATTATTTATTAAATTTTATGTAGGAAATCAGAAGTTTTGGTCATTTTTTACACTTCCTGTTTGAACAATTTGAAGTGGTATCCAAGGCGGAAGTATGGAAACAAAATGGCGGCCTTTGAAATCTGGGATTTTAATTACGGACTATCTAAGATCTATTTCTGACGTTAGTTCCCCAAGTCACGACTTATCTGACAAAACATTTTAAATGATACCGGATTATTGTTTTCTTTTTACCAAGTTCTTAAGAAGATGTCTCCAAGCGACGTCTGAGTGAAAAATAAAAGACAGGGTCTGATCAACAGATCAGAAACAATAGAAACTGTCTGAAACATACAGCCAAACCATAGTGTTTGAATCGCAATAGAGGAGAGCCATTGTTTTCTGACTTTAAAGTCTTGGAATGATCAAGACTGACTTAGACTGTTGCCAAGTCACCAAATAGTCTGCGATTGGCCAAGCCAGTACTCATTGGTCAATTCACACGAAAAAACATTGTGGTTTTTCTGGAGTTGGAACATTCTTGTTCGTTCTCATTTCTTAAAATCGCGTTTCAGTGACACCATAGTGATGATCATACCAGACGTCTTATTCTTGAAAATTTAACTGAAGATGATATCAGTGTTCAAGTCATCTGATTGGTCAGTTAGTAAAATTTAGTTTTGTTATCCAATCAGATTAGAGTATTTCTTGAAATCTGGATTATATTTGAGTTAGGTTTTTGAGAAAAAGGCCACAGTAAAATAAGAGTTTAATCAACTTTAAGGTGAATTTACAATCACGATCCGGGCTGGCCTAGATAGTTTCTGGACTGACATTACTTAAAGTCTATGAGAAATTATGTTGCCTTCACACCAGATATTGCACGAACCTGACAAACTCAGCGTCACTTTCAGAGAGTCTACATAGCCAATCATGTTTAACCTATATTTTAGTTTCTCAACTTCGTGTTAAATTAGTAAGGTTAGTCAACTTGCTTTCTCTTTTGGAGTATGATTGGACAAGAAACCGAGACCCTGTGTGCTTCAGACTATGGACGTTAAAGACCCCTTGACAGTAGGAAATCAAAAAAGAGGAGGCTTATGCCGCTGTCCCGGCAAAATTTCCCTCATTGCACCCGGCATGGTGTTGCCGTCTTCATTAGCTCACATGGTGCAGAAAAGTAGAATGTAAAACTCCATTCATTTCATTTCTCTTTTGGAGACACCACATATTAGGTGTTTGACCTATATTTTGTTTTTTCAACTTGCATCCTTTTCAGGGAATCCACATAACTAATAATGTTAAATCTATATTTTGGTTTCTGATGTCTTTAATTGATAGCTGGGTTTGTCAACATGCATTCATTTCAGAGAGTCCACATAGCTAACAATGTTTATATATGGTATCTTTATCCTGACGATTCAGAATATGTTTCTATCAATTTTTCCTCTAAGCACACACACAGAGACATGTTCGATTGGGAAAAAACTTCAGACGCTTTTAATGATGTAAAATTAGCCAAATTAGGAAATGTTTCAATTATTAAAAGAGCAATAGTAGGCTCGAGGTCAATTTAAAGGTGGTGTTCCACATAAAATGGAGAAAAATTACAGGAGACTTGTCAGAATGGAAAAGAATCCATTCACAAGTTTTCAATTAATCTGTAATAAGGAACTGCTCGCAAAAAATGTGTGGATGTCCAGGTTTCCATGGATACCATCAATTTAAAGGATGAATTACACATAGTAAAAGCAAAATGTAAAGGGGGAGTCCCACATTTTATTTGTTGTCTGCACCGCCAATTTAGTTTTATTGTAGGCTACCAAATTTTGAAACAATTTCTTTGCAGCTTACAGCAACTGACAAATATTTCTGTATGGACAACTAAGCCTATGTCCACCATTTTGAATGCTATACATTAGCCATCATCTATGGTGCACCACTTTAATTTTGAAACCAGTGGCAGTGCCTACGAGAGTTGACCAGGTGTCAGCTTTAACCTCTATTACCCAACATCTTGCTTTAGCCGTAGCTAACACCCACCTTCTTGCTTTACCCTGGTCTAACACCCACCTTCTTGGTAGGTCTAAACCCCAAGCTAACATCCACCATCTTGCTATACCCCCAGCTAACACCCACCATCTTGTATTGCCTGTATGACCTGGCACTGTTAGTTTATTAAATATCTATTGGTTTGGTTTGATTGTGTTATGTTTAACCTTTAAGTAAATATAACCAGAGTTGAGCTACCAACCCACAAAGCTAGCAACCCACAATCCACCATCTTGCTATACCCGTAGCTAACACCCACCATCTTGTATTGCCCGTATGACCTGGCACTGTTAGTTTATTAAATATCTGTTGGTTTGGTTTGATTGTGTTATGTTTAACCTTTAAGCAAAGATAACCAGAGTTGAGCTACCAACCCACAAAGCTAGCAACCCACAATCCACCATCTTGCTATAACCCCTGCTAACACCCACCATCTTGTATTACCCGTATGACCTGGCACTGTTAGTTTATTAAATATCTATTGGTTTGGTTTGATTGTGTTATATTTAACCTTTAAGTAAATATAACCAGAGTTGAGCTACCAACCCACAAAGCTACCAACCCACAATCCACCATCTTGCTATACCCGTAGCTAACATCCACCATCTTGTATTGCCCATATGACCTGGCACTGTTAGTTTATTAAATATCTATTGGTTTGGTTTGATTGTGTTATGTTTAACCTTTAAGTAAATATAACCAGAGTTGAGCTGTCAGTATGATGGATTAATCTATTACTAAAATCATTCAGTTGACTTTTTACTCTTTAGTTTACTCCTAATCAACTGTACACTGTGTTAATAATGGCCCATCCTAGTTTCTTTTGCTCTGAAAGCACCAATCAGGGATGTCGATTTGACTTTTTTGGCGGCCATGATCATGCAAGTTAGTAAACACCTTATCATTTGTACAGTGTACATCCAAGTTCTCTTTACTGTAAAAATCAAGGCTGTCTGTTTGCCGGTCATGTTTGACTGGTCCTATAAAAGACAATTCTGGTCATTTAATACTGTGTTACTTCTAATTTCTTTTGCTGTCTTTCTGGGACTGTTGATTTGGCAATAATTGCCGGTTATGTTTGGTTTGCACTTCAAAAGATAAAGCTAATCATGATTCTGGTTTCATTTGATCTAAAAGGCACCAATAAGGGCAGTTTTTACCAGTCATGGTTGACATGGTTTTATGAAATAACAGAATAGTTTTAACCTTTCATTTTACGATATGATTACTTTGAAATTAGTGTGAATTTTCATTCCAATGATGAGTAATATACCTTTCACAACTGTCAACAATATTAAATGAGTTGAACTATTATAGACTTGAGAATAAGTTCTACTTGTCTAACTTCAGTAGGAAAGCATGCTGAAAGTAGGTCAGTTGAGTTCCAATAGGTCTTTCTTGATTCAATTTCTTGTTGATTGTTGATCGCTTTCCTGTCGGCATTTTTTTCAGAAGAGACTAATGATCCAGGAAAGATAGTTGCTTGAAGGTATGGCCGAGGATTAGATGGTAGACAGTAGGTTTTTTTTTCAATTTTGAAAAATTTGTTGTTTTCTTTCAAACACCTGGATCAATTTAAAATTTATCGTAAGGACAGCTGGACTGAAGATTTGTCTTCAAGATTTAAATATGTGGGTTTTTGTTTATAACAAAATATACCGTTCCACGTATTAGACAGGATATAACAATAATACAAAAAACAATGTGTTTACCAAATGCTTTTTCTAATACCATTGCAACCTATTAAATGGACTGCCGGACTGAAATTTGCTTTTAAAATTTGAATATGTGGGTTTCACAAGAAAAACATCTGCTAATGACAAAAACGTCTTCCGGCACAATGGACAGGAAACAACGATTAAAAATAACGAATGAATTTGAAAAAAAAAATGTCTACAAAACGCTTTTTAAAATATCAACTTTTCATGCGGACAGCTGGACTAAAAATTTGATTTCATAAGACGTCTGCTTACGGCAAAATTTGTCTGTTGGTATATTGGACAGGAAATTACGATAATTTTTTTTAAAATCTGTCTACCAAACATTCTTTCAAATACCAACTTGGACAAATGGACAGCTGGACTAAAAATTGAAAAATGGTAAATTCCATAAAACCGAATCGCTTTTGAGGCAAAAGTTGTCTGGACTAGAAATAATTAGTAAACTAAAAATTTGTGGATAAAAATTTTGTCTACCAAATACTTTTCTTAAGAAGGAAATTCTTTGATAAGAACAGCTGAACTAAGATTTGAGTTTTAAAAGTTTGATATTTCGATTTCACAAGACAAAATATTTTAAGCGAAAAATGTCTGACTGAATAATGGACTGGAAAGGATGTCCAAATTCCAATATTTAGATTTATGAATGTGTCCAGCCACAGTCTTGTTTCTGATGTAATCAAAGAATATAATGACGTTTCTACAGCCATGCCCCTCCTCCCAAAAATCCCAAAAGCATGGCTTATACCTCTGTCCTGGCAAAATTTCCCTCATTGCACACTTCATGGTCCTTGACCTCATTTGCCCAAAAAAGTGAATAAAAATAGGACGTTAAACTCTACAGCCATGCAACTCCTCCAAAAAAATCCCAAAAGAGAAGGCTTAATGCCTGCCACAGTCCTGGGAAAATTTCACTTATTGCACACTGCATGATGCTTGACCTCATTAGCTCAAATAAAAACTCTATTGCATTTCCTTTCAATAAAAAAAAAACTTGATGGGCTATCAGAGTTTGATTTCTTTAACGTATTGAGGAGTTTACGAAATTCAATAAGATTTTTTCTTATCGGAAATGATATTTATGGCAGCTAAAGAGATTGTGCCATGCCAATTTCATGCTTTTCACATCTTTTTTCTGTAATCCCCTGATATATATTAATCTAAAACATGCCAAGTCGGCATTGAATATTAGATAATATAATCGACAATTCAAACATCAAGATGCAACATCATGCCGTGTTAACACTGGAGTTTTCAACCATCAAAATACAACATCATGCCCTGTTAACACTGGAGTTTTCAACAATCAAAATACAACATCATGCCCTGTTAACACTGGAGTTTTCAACCATCAAGATGCAACATCATGCCCTGTTAACACTGGAGTTTTCAACCATCAAGATGCAACATCATGCCCTGTTAACACTGGAGTTTTCAACCATCAAGATGCAACATCATGCCCTGTTAACACTGGAGTTTTCAACCATCAAAATACAACATCATGCCCTGTTAAAACTAGAGTTTTCAACCATCAAAATACAACATCATGCCCTGTTAACTAACACTGGAGTTTTCATGCAATGCTAAGAAACTTTGGCATTATAATCTTTGTAAGACATATAGAAGTAGGCAGGTAAACATTAAGAACACAAGTTATATAGATATACTACTTAGTATATTACATACATTTCTTCTACATTTCAAAACACATACAGGTAACGTTATCAAGTAAGATTTTTAGTATATCCATATAACTTGTGTTCTTAATTTTGGAATTGTATTTTTTTTATTCCCGAGAAGCAAAATGTTTTTTGTTGGCCTATCAAGTATTTCATCCTTTCCTATTACAATCTAGACAACATAAATGGCATTTCGAATACCATCAAGCCTGGTTTACACTGGTGGAGTTGTGTGGACTCAGTAAGTTAGATGCTTGCTCACAAACCTGAAGGTCAAGGGTTCAATCGCAGCATACATCGAGATAATACCTTCTGATTTTTTAACCCAGTTTCCTCCTTGTCTTGTTAGTGATGTAGGTAAGAGAGGCTGACATAGAAAAAGCGTCTAGTTGTTCACAGACAGCGTATGTCGATCCCTCGACAGTAAGTTTTAAGATTATGTCCAATGACAGTAATCCCATCAAAATCCAGATTTTAGCATTGCCATTTCAAATCTATAACCAGTATGACGTCTGCGCCATTTAATGTACAGAGTAATCTATCGAATGTTACAGATCAGAAGATAAAGGTTGGAAATGTCGCATCGATATTATCCTGTAATCGATATAAACCGAGGATATAATCAGTTAGGTATGACAGGTATCGTGCCAATATCTTCTTCACCATCAAGAATTATACCAGAGACACAGAGATTGGCTGATAACCGGTGTAATTCTGACCCATTGATGGATTAATATGGAAAAATATGGGATGGTTTGATTTGCCATTGGTGCTCAGAAAATCTAATAACAAGACTATTTCATTTCATTTCTGTATTTGTACCAAAATATAGTATGGAAAACTCTATTTCATTTCATTTCTGTAGGATGGCCTGATAGGAAACTCCAAACTAGTGCCAAGAGCAGGATTGAAAATTCCATTTCATTTCAATTCCACAGTGCCAAAAGCAAGATTGAAAACTCCATTTCATTTCATTTCTACATTGTGCCAAGAGCAAGATTGAAACCTCCCTTTCATTTCTACATTGTGCCAAGAGCAAGATTGAAACCTCCATTTCATTTCATTTCTACATTGTGCCAAAAGCAAGATTGAAACCTCCATTTCATTTCATTTCTACATTGTGCCAAGAGCAGGATTGAAAATTCCATTTCATTTCAATTCCACAGTGCCAAAAGCAAGATTGAAAACTCCATTTCATTTTATTTCTACATTGTGCCAAAAGCAAGATTGAAACCTCCATTTCATTTCATTTCTACATTGTGCCAAGAGCAAGATTGAAACCTCCATTTCATTTCTACATTGTGCCAAGAGCAAGATTGAAACCTCCATTTCATTTCTACATTGTGCCAAGAGCAAGATTGAAACCTCCATTTCATTTCTACATTGTGCCAAGAGCAAGATTGAAACCTCCATTTCATTTCTACATTGTGCCAAGAGCAAGATTGAAACCTCCATTTCATTTCATTTCTACATTGTGCCAAGAGCAAGATTGAAAACTCCATTTCATTTCTACATTGTGCCAAGAGCAGGATTGAAAACTTCATTTCTACATTGTGCCAAGAGCAGGATTGAAAACTTCATTTCTACATTGTGCCAAGAGCAGGATTGAAAACACTCTTTCATTTTAATTTCCCAAAAGTCATATAAGGAATGGCACTAGATTTAAGAACTGCATGTATATCAATGAAAAATCTATTTAAAAGCTATTTAGATGTTGAAAGAAAATAAAACCAAATATAATTGCCATCCCTTGAGCGTGAAAAACTAGCTCGTCTCACCAATCTAATTTGATTTACCGTATTCAACACAAATAACATAATACATTGATAGTTTCATCTTCACATCACTCTTTCCTTATTCAATTACCACTTTCTATAGTCATTCCTTCTTCCTCGTTTATTATGTATTCTAGGTTTTTTAGAATTTCTAAAAAACGTTTCCCAAATGCAGAGTGATAACACGCTGCAAGTCCAAGGTTGTTCTTCTTACTCAAACCATTATTTCTATGACAACTTATAAAAATGGTATGGAAAATTCTTATGTCACGGCCAGTGCTTCAGAAAGTCTGCCCACTTCGGCTTTCAATCCTGATCACCCAAATGCAGAGTGATCACAAGTTTCTATAGTCGTTCAACTTGTAAGACCCGTAGCCAGACTTTATCGTACAGGAAGGCAACAATATATATCTGGAGGGGCATGGTTTATAGTTAAAATTGGTTGGTT